CCTAAACCGAGAAAATCAAAGCTAAAGTTTATGTAAATTAACATGATTTTATATCACATATATAACCACGACACGCTTATGATTTTTCTTTGTGTTTTGCTCCTGAATTATTAACGAGTTTTTTAAATATATATACAAAACCACAACAGTCTGTTGTTGTCATATATATATATATATATATATACACTATTGAAACTGAAACGCCTGATGATTCTTCACTGATGATTCTTAACACGCCTGATGATTCTTTACTGATGAAACAGACTGTTGCGAAATTTTGAGGTAAGCGAAATTATATATATATATATATATATATATATATATATATATATATATATATATATATATATATATATATATATATATATATATATATATATATATAGCTTAAGATTTTGGTTTACGAAACACAAACAGTGCTCAATACCATATAGAGCGTAATATACGGATGAAACAACGGATGAAACAGACTGTTGTGGTTTTTTGAGGTAAAACGAAAACTATATATATATATACGTTAATTTTGTTAATTCTTAATATTTTCACAATTTATCCACATAAGCACATAACTGATGAATTTTCCTTTATTTCACACATTTTAATGACATTTAATATTAAGCAAAGTAAATTTAAAATTGAATTCTAAGCTGTGGCTACTGCTATTGCGCACTCTAACTTAAAGATTAAATTAAAGCGACAAATTTAATGATTAAAGAACAACAATAGTTTGTAAAATCGGCTAAAGTCATTACCACCCGCCAGGAGGTTATGTTTTCATCGACGTTTGCCGTGTCTGCGTACTGTGTTTGTCAGCACGACGATTTAAAAAATATCAAACGTATTAATACAAACATTTGTGAGACTAATGGACATTGCCCAAGTACAAATTGATTAAATTTTGGTTAAATTTAGTTGAAAATTGTGTGAGAAATGAGCAAAAGTTTGCCTTGCTTTGCCAGGCAGAGTATTAAAGTGAATACGTAATTAGCCCATTGTATAATTTATGCATGATACATAACTTAATTATCTGGCGGAGGTAAGCTGTAGTCTTCGACCTTCGAGTTGCGCTTTGTTTTTTCTCACTTTAATTAAACAATACACCCTTTCGATAATTGGTCTAGGAGCCTCGCTCTCAATAGTTCATTACGCAAGGTAATCGGCTGATTCGGCTAACGTTTCATGAGAGCGAAGCTCCAAGGCCAAATGACGTAATTATCAAAAGGGTGTATTCATTGTGCACTTTCCAGTCAGTGAACGTAAGTTGTTTTCCTATACAATAAAGCAATGGTAACCTTAGATAAGTAATTTTTAGACTAAAAGAATCAGATTTGTACACACAATTATAGAGTTCGTTTATGAAACTTTTTTGGAAGTTCAGTTCATTTTCTAATAACTATATGAGTAAACAGTAGACGTTCAAGGGTTGAAACTATTTTAACCATAGATATCTTATATACACTAGATAGTGCATCTAATTATTCTGCAATTCAAAAATTGAAGCCGTGATTGCAGACTCGTATGTTTTCTATTTCTTAAACAGGAAACTTAAACATTAAGTTAAACCTATTCCAAATACATTTTCAAACTATTCAAATGATGAAAGTTATTGTTGTTTTTTAAGCGTTTATTAGCGAGTGGGAAAACATGGCCGCCATCTATTCAAATGGGGTTAACCGCTGGAATATTCTTGGCTTCAATTTTACTAAAAGAGGTGCGCTATCTAGTGTATATAAGATATCTATGATTTTAACGCACTAAAATATATCCCATCGATTTGATGTTCACTTTGCCATTGTCTGGATCACATGATGCAATATTCCCGCTCACTGGAAAGGTGGAAACGCCAAAGAAACAAACATTATGGATTACATATTTACCTCCTATTCCGATAAATGAGTCTGGCGAGGAACACGTATCATCTTGGTTTGCTAAAATTCCAATTCGAGCTGCTGGGTAGAAATGGGGACCAACGAAATTGTTAAAACCAACCTTGTTGCATTTGTATTGAAGCGAAGAATTAGTGATCAGTGATTTCCATTCGTCTCGTCCCACGTGATGTATGGGACGAAATTTCCCATCAGTCATTAAAAGATACAATGAATTATGATCGACGTATGGTATCGTTAGGAATCGTAGATCGTTGCCGACTTTCATTCCAATACATATTTCGCTGAACGGGATGCTCCAGTAGGTTGGCAGTTTTGTTTCCACGTCATCAAAGCCAGAGGTTCCACCAATGGGATTAAAGGTCTGCATGTCAGACCAGTACGAGGAACTGTAGTCGAATGTGTTCTGCTTAAAAATATGATTAGTTTATAGAAGTTGAATTTATTTGAGATAAGGAGAAAAGGAATTGCAATATAAGCAGGTCAAAACTGTGAGCTCAAAGAAACTACAAAGAAACGTGTTTGTATCTGCTATCTTGGTCCATAAAATGGTCGCCGGAATGAATTTGAATAGTTTAAGAGAGGAATAGTTTAAGAGAGAAATAGTTCAAAAATGTTATTCTCGAAGGTAGCGATGATAACGAGATAGCTATGAATAGACCTTATGCATAATGACGTCACAAGGCTTGATGCCCGCGAGGAATGCTGGTCTTAGTAGTCATCGCCCGGGAAAAGTTGAACAATTCAAAATGGCCATTATCGAAATTTTTCCGGGCGATGACTACTAAGACCAGCATTCCTCGCGGGCATCAAGCCTTGTGACGTCATTATGCATAAGGTCTATTGAGAGAGGTACAACTACATGAAAAATACAAGCAGAACGTCGACGTTTTGAGCGAAGGCCCTTTTTCGGAGGGCTTTCTACTAAATAGGGAGCTTAAGCATGTAGGACGGCAACACGACGACGACGGCCAAAACAAGTTCCTTCAAATAAATGATAGTAAAGAAAACTCGTATATTTGTATGAATTTAATACAGTATAAGAAGTTGAAAACATTGACTTTATGTTTGGGAAGAGTTCTACTGGACCGAATTTTAAGTTGCACTTGTTACGGCATGAAATACGTCTGAAACTCCCCTTGGACTTTAATTATTTATTTATTTTACATTCTACATGCTTAAGCTCCCTATACTAACTTCACGACGAAGGGCCTTTGCTCCAGAATAGGCAGAAACGTCGAGGTTCTGCATGCTTGTATTTCTCAGCCAGTTGCATCTCTTAAACCGCTGCTGTCTTCAAAAATTCTACCTGACTTCCATCGACTTTCATCACCATGGTCCAACCTCCACCTGCACAGCCTGCAAGCGACGTCATCTGACAGTAGGTCTTGCTCATTCCTGCCTCTGTCTGGGTTCGAATATTGTACGCGCCGTTTGGTAGGTCACTGATTTGTCAAAGGATATTAAGAAGATATGTCAAAAAATACAAATGAATTTTAAAAACATGAAATCAAAATTATATGAATTAAGTGACTATTTTACGAATTATGTTTGACGAGAAACGTAGTGCTGCAATTAACCATAGAATATAAAAACACTATTTATACTGCAACTTAGTGCAATACACCTTTTCGATCATTACCTCACATATACTTTTTGGTCTTGGAGCCTCGCTCTCATTAGTAAATTACGCAAGGTGATTGGCTCACAATTATGAGAGCGAGGCTCCCTGGACAAATGACATCATTGTCGAAAGGGTGTATTTGATCGTAAGTTGGCCGCTGACCATATGTTTTTTACAATAGTGTCAGTGAAAATCCTGACAGGACAAAGGAACATAGCTGAACGTGAAAATTCCGACTTGAATTTTGGCAAAAATATTAAAAATAAAAGCAGTTAAGTTCACGTTTTTTATATGCAATGGATATATATAGAGGTACAGTCATACCTTCCCAATTTATGCAGGTCGTTGCATGAAGAAAACGTTCCTATAAGATAGAAAAGAGAGTTGAATTTGAACTAATCACCAAATATTGTATATTTTCGTGTTTTCCTTACAAGCTGATCTAACTTCCCCTTCTATTTTATAATTAGGATTGTGGTAGGTTCCTTGTATTTTTATAGGGGTTGATCTCCGGTTTGGTTTTCTTTCCTAAAAACTAACACTTCCACCATAGGCATCACTCTGTGCACCGTGTCAGGCATAAGTCGTATGTAATGGTAGCCAGAGCCGCTATAATAATCCACTGCAAGTCTGCAATGATCTGCAGTCTGCACTCACTGATTTTATTTTATTTTACATAACTTTCTGCATACTGCTAGTGAGGTGGTGTGTTTAGTAAAGATTCAAACACTCATTAATAATTCATAAGCTTATTGGCAAATCATGTCAACCATAATATGTCACGTACAGTGGCTTTAAACCTGATAAAACACTCCTAATTAGTATTCTTTATATAAAGAATACTAATAAGGCAGTATCTATTGTAGTCGTGTCCTCATTAGTATTCTTTATATAAAGAATACTAATAAGACAGTATATCTATTGAATTTGTAGTCGTGTTTGAAGCTGTTTAATAAACGAGCATGCAGGAGTGTTTTATTAGGTTTAATAACATGTAGAATAAATAACATCTATTCATACCTGTCACCTCTTCACAAAACTTTCCACTGAAATTTTCACGACAAATGCATTTGAAGCCGTCGTTACTGCATGGATATTCCAAGCAAGTGCCTCCATTTTTGCATACGATTTTTGAACATATCGCCAGCTGGAATGAAATAATGCCGGTTAAAGATCACATGATTCACATCACACACGTCCGTTTGAACACTTAGGGAGTGTAGCCAAG